GCGTTTTTCACATGGTAGCGGAGCGCAGAGTGCTATGAGCGCCCAAAACACCACTTCTGAGAAGAAGTTTGACTCGTTTGGTCCAGGACCAAACCCTGGTGCTGCGCTAGCAGCGAGTGGTGCAACTGCTCGCACGAACTCTTTTGTGTGTCTAACGTTCGTAACTAAAGCTGTTTGGCGCAAGAAAAAGACCGAGTGCTGCGCGCTCTGTTTTTCACATGTTCGAATCCAGTTCGGAAACTCTATGTTTGAAATCCAGATTTGAGCATTTCGAACTTCGTCTGTTGTCTGTGGAAGAAGACTGTGTTCGAACTCTGGGTTCGGGAATTTTGTTTGAACTCTGATTCTCTTCCCGACCTGAGAACTTCGAACCCCAAGTCCCGAAACACTGCAAAGCAAATGCTCATGTTGCACAGCACAGGCCATCTCGAAAAATCCCGCAGCTTGTGCACTCCAGGTAACAGTAGAAAGGCCTGCTTGCAAGACGGAGCTGACAGGCGATCTCTTATAGAAGGCATCTTTCGCGAAAACGGTTTGTTCAGTCCCCTTGTGGAAGTTCTTCTTCTTGCAAGAACAGGCCAAACACTTTGGCAAGCGGGTGCTCTCGACGATGCTTTGTCGCTCCATAAAATTTCTGTTGATTTTTTCGGCTGCGGCATTCAGTCGTTCTGCACGAGGTACTCTCTTTCATCCGGCGTGGTTTTGAAGCCAAACTTCGCCGGCTGTCTTTGTTGCTTGCGATGGACCTGTCTTTGTGGAGTGGGGACTTGCCGCCGGAAGTGCCGGGATCTGATGGACGCATTTGCCACCGACGACGTCGGTTACTGTCAGCACAGGTCGTTGAGCCTTGTCGGTTGTACATACAGTTTTGTTCAAAGATGCGTTTGGTTTCCATGTGGCGGTTTCATCGCTGCGGGTGAGTCCGCGTGCCACCGGATAGTCTTTTGTGATTTTTCGCTCAGGCGTAGTTGAAAGACTGGAAACAGATGTGCCGGTTCAAGTTCAAAAGACGCAGCAAGCCAGCGGTTCAGGAAAAACAAATTTGCTTGTTGCCTTTGCGTGAAGCTACCCTTGGGGAGATTTTGAGCTCGAGAAGCTGCAGCCATTTGGCGCAACCGAACCGATAGCAGAATGTGTGCCTTCATGTCCATTCCCATGCCCAGGCCAGCAGTTTTATGGTGTGGTGTGAATGCTTGTGGCGTCATTTGTTCGCCGACGTGACCAGGTGGGCATTCCTCGTGTTCTTGATCCAGTGCTTGGTTGAGCCTTAGTTCGACATCTGTGTGTCATTGTAGTCATTGTAGTCACCGCGCATTTGTCATGGTGGACGGCTGCGGAAGCATCGCCAACACCAGGCTGCCAAGCACGATTCCATTGGCGACGCCTGTTGGAATAGTTCTGTTGAGAACTGCGAGGCTTTGCTGTTAATTGCGATGCTGTTGAGCATTTGCCACTCTTGGCGCAAACTTTGACCCCAAGCGGCAGGCGGACATTTCCAACGTGTTGCAGGTGCAGGTGAGGACTTAGCATTTTTGTTTTTTTCCTAGGAGTGGTTGATGACAAAAAATTTCGTATGAAGCTCGAAGCATAACCTGGGTTTGATGACCTCCACTGCGTGGGAAGTATTCTAGAAATCGTTTCAGCCCGCACAGCTCGTCACTGGGGATTTTTACAGCTTCTACACGTGCTGCTTGTCGTGAGGCCAGTCAGCGTGAGGTTCTGGATGACGATTGGTGGCACAGACGCAGATCCTCTTCTAGGCGGTCTAGGCGGTCTAGGAGATCGCGCAGATCCCGGAGATCGCGCAGATCTCGGAGATCTCGGCGAGTATTTTTCCACCGCAGGAGAGGCGTCCCTTCCCCCACACCACCACCAAGTCCTGTGCCACCGCCGCCACCACCCCCACCACCCCCACCACCCCCACCACCCCCACCACCCCCACCGCCCCCACCGCCCCCACCGCCGCCACCGCCGCCACCTCCACCACCAGCTCCTCCCTCCACACCACCACCAACAACAACACCAACCCCACCAACACCGCCGCCTGCACCGTCACCGGCACCAACGCCAGCACCTCCAGCTCCTCCGCAACTAGGCCTCTATGCAGTTTGTGATTGCATGAGTGTCCAGGACGATACAGAAGCCGTACTGCATGGAGCCATGTGCCACCGAAGAGTCCAGCAGTAAGGACCACACATCCGCCTGATGGTGGCGAGAATCATTGCCGACCGATCGACACAACAGGGAGGCCCACCGGCCTCCAAAAGAGATTGAGAAAGGACATCAAGCAAATGAGCTTCAGCTGCATTTTTGACGAGCTGTAGCGCCGGCTGAATCTCGGGAGACGGACCCTGCACCACCCGTGCGATTTGCTAGGACGGATGAAGAGTTCCAGAAGTTTGCGGAAGCACTGAACCTGTTGAAAAACAATTGGTCGTTATGTGATGATCCATCCGATTGCTTGGGCCTTGATCAACATGTCTCGGCTGCAAGATACATGTGAGTGCAAAGAGACGTCGTGCAGTGCTCATTCCAGGTCTGGCCGATTTCCCTTACACATACGACTCTCTCCTTGCTTTCCATCCGAACTTTGGCTCGCAAAAGATCATTGAAGCCGAAAGACCTGTAGCCTCAGTTCACATCGCTGACCGGCATCTGCAGGTATTGTCATCGGGATCCTCAAGAGTTTTTGGTCATGCACAGACGGTTACTGTTCGAAGTTGAAACTCGACTTCAAGTGCAGCTCGCTCTCAATTGGAAGGCTTAGTCTGCTGGCATCTCTTCTTCAACTCTTGCAATAGGTCATTTTTGGCAGTAGGGGGTGTGATTTTCTCGAAGGTGATTTTCAACGTTCTGCTGCGAAATTAGGAGCCCTCGTGAATCGTCACGCAGTAGATTGGCACGGCTGATGTTGAATATGGGTGCTCTGACTGAGATTTTGCTGTCTTGAGTGCGAATCAGACAGTATTTATGTTAGGAGGGTGCCTGAGTTGCGTACGCAAGTACCCTCCGAAACGGCATAGGCCCTGGGACGCCTCCGTCCTGTGTTGACACTGTGCTTCGTCAAACGTCTTCCAAGGCTGTCTGGCGACTGTAGCGTGACGTTTCCATACTGGAACTCCAACCGAGATGCGGGAGACCTCTGGGGTGGGGTCCTTGGAGATCCTTCAAAGTTTGTGAGGTAGAACGGTCGCAGCTCCTCAGGTGTCTCGGAGGTTTGGTCTGACACCCGATATGGCCGTCCTGAAGGTGGACACGGTCCCGGCGACGATGATTCATGGTGCTCGACAAGAGGCGAACGCCACAACTGTGCTGGAATCTAAGCTATTGCAGATCAGGCAGCGGTACCGCGTATATCCGTCCTTGATGAATCAGATGCCCGGATCAGGTCAGGACTGGAGTTGCCCGTGATTGGACAGAGCGTCCATTTGCGCACAGACGCAGCTGCGGTTTGGCTTTCCTTGGGATGTGGCACGTGTGTAGCACCAGAGCCCGCATGATGCCCAGATGTCGTACTTTCATTCGGCATGCGTGTTCAAGCCAAGGCTCGTATTGTGTCAACCGAGCTCCGCGTGAGGATTTTCATCTCACAGCCTTTCCGGTGCTGATGGTGCTTTGGCAATTTCGATTCACATGTTGACGCAATGTGCATTGCGTGCCATTGCGTGCTCTGGTGTTTCATTGGCTTCCGTGGTTAAGCTGCTGTGTGGTGATTGGGCGACTGCAGGCAGGCCTTTATCGGAGGACGAGGTTTGAACACTTCCAGTCCTGGATTGAAGCTGTTCACGCGCAGCTCCATATCGCCATAGGCTGGAAGCTGAGATATGATATTATGTTGTCCACCCGCAAGCTAGATGCTAGCGTGATTGAAGACGACGTCTCTTTCTGTCTTGGATATGAACTTCGGGCCAACCAGAACGACAGCACCTGCTTCTCCGGTCCAGGCGGAGACATGGCCATCCTCCCGTTTGCAACAGCCGATCCAGTTTTCCTCCTGCATCATGCCTTCGTTGACTACCTTTTTCTCATCTGGCAGGCCTCCGCGCTGGATGAAGCCTAGGGCCAGCTTGCAGGAGATATTGTCACGACATTTAAAGTGATAGGATCAAAACCAAAGCCGTCCCTTTGAGGTGGGTTCGGGCATTGTTCCCGGTTCAGAGTTCTATCACGGTTCAGTGCTGGCAACCGGGCTTGCAACCAACACTTGAACAGGTTCACCAGCATGACTCGGGCAACGAGGAGTGGAACTGTCAGAGTTGTGCCTGAGTGGCACTCGTGATGCCAGAGTGACTGGCGCATGCATGTTCCGCGATGTATTGTTGCAAATCGTCTGTGTTTGGGCGTCAAGTCAGCTGCCAGAGACTTGAGCTTTCGTGCGTCCTGAGGCAGCACTAGAATGACCCATTGGAGGTCACGCAGAACCGAATGGATGGGAAGATACAACCCTGAGCATCGTTGCTATGAGGCTAACCGTGCAGTGGGAGTGAAACATGGATGTTCAATGTTCAAGCATTGCACTGCAGGTTCCACTGTCAAGCCCGACTGCCTGTGTTGGATACTCGGGCCCGGTTCACAGAGGCCTGCAGGGATGTTGTATCCAACTGTCTCATGAATGTTTCGTGACGAAATTTGTGAGGAGGCCTGCTTCGAAATCTGTAGGGTGACGAAGCCGCCACAGGGCACTTCTCTTCAGCTGCAGACAAACGCACTACCCTGCCAGATCGCGTTTCTCAGATGATTGGGTCGGGTGCCTTGGTATTGCAAAGCTGGGTGTCCCGAATCAAGCATGATCAGCGTCCATGTCCGACGGCGATTAGGCAGCCTGCATCTGACCCGGCCACGCTACAATTCCGAATCTCGCATTCACACTGCATGAGCAGAGCAGGTATGCCGACCTTGGAATCCTCCGCTGCTGCAGAGGCAGAAATTGAAGATTGCACCTCGGTGGGTAAAGTTTTGGAGGGTGAACGGCAGCCTCCCTGTTGCCATCCAGACCGGTAAGCCTGACCATCCGCCCTGAAGCAGTGAGGTATTTGGCAAGTGAAGGCTCTTGAACCCGGTCGGTTTATGCAGAAAGGGAGAATTCGGCAATCGCAAGGCGCAGGCGTAGATGCACACGGCATACGAGTACACGAACGGAGACAGAAAAACAGAGAGACGGACAGACAGACAGACGGGGGCTCGCCGCCAGGCGTTGACACAGACAGACAGACAGACAGACAGACACACGGAGAGTCAGACAGACGGACACGTAAAACAACTGTTCGCATACATCAGCGGGCATGCAATCCATGCTGTCATCGCGTCTACACTGCCGCAGTCCAGGTGTGGAGGATCTCCTGGACGACATCGAGCTCGGCAAGATGTCTGCATCGCAGATCGAAGAGGAGGTTGTGCTCACAAGCAAATTCCGAGTGAGCCTTTCTTGCACCGAGCTTCCTACGTTTCGTGCGGCTGTCTCGCAGCGAGAGAGACGCATCTCAGGGGAGGTGTGAAGCGCAATTGCCGAGAGTGGTTTGGCTCCATGAGGTGGCCCACCCCTTTTTTCGAAGCTTCCGTGGTACCTTCTCCATAGAAGGTCGATGGAGCACATGCACTCCGAGCATATGGACGACGTTCTCGACAACAGGACGGTCTCCTTAGTTTCTGCATGGCCGTAATCGGGAAACCTCTTAGTGCAGCTACTTTCAAGGGCCCATGAATGTGTTCAGATTCAGGGCACTGCCGATATACCACTACACTACCGCTGCCGCTGCCGCTACCTGCCGCTGCCGCTGCCGCTGCCGCTGCCGCTGCCGCTGCCACTGCCACTGCCACTGCCACTACCACTACCACTACCACTACCACTACCACTACCACTACCACTACCACTACCACTACCACCACCATTAACACTACTACAGGTACGACGATTACTACCACTACCGCCACCACTGCCACAACCACAACCACCACCGCTACCACTACCATGCACTAGCAATACCACGACCACGACCACGTCCACTACGACCACTACCACCACGACCAGGACCACGACCGCGACCACGGCTACTGCTACCACTATCACAACCACTATTACTATTACTACCACTACCATTACCACTACCACTACCGCTACCACTACCACCACCACTGCCACTACCACTCGACCACGACTACAACGACGGCGACGCCGACGACGACTACTACTGCTACGACTAAGGTGAAGAATACTGCTCAAAAGAATCATGCTACTGCTACTACTACTACTTTTGAGACCGCTGCTGCGGAGAGTAATGTTGTAACCTCTGTGAAGCCAGACTCCCAGGCTCACGATGAACAAGTCTCGTGCGAGGATCAAATCATGTCAGATGATGGAAGTTGAGAATTTCCATGAGCAGGAGAAGTTCCTGCGCCTTCCTTAGTTCTTCGCGTTGGCGGTCGCAAGATATCTTCGTGATGGGGTTCAGCTTGGCTTTCGCCTCAAGGTTTGAACCAACCGCCACCAAGAGCGAAAAGAGGCCTTCGGTTCAATGCTGCGCTTCACGACTGCATGGACTGTTTTGAGTATGTGCAAGGACCGAAGTCAAATGCCGACGAGCTCACGTTGGCACCTGGGCAGAAACCATTGAGATCGCACGCCCCAAACCTCCTGCACGCGCAGAGGACACCTGCCTGCCCAGGGACATGACGAACAAGTTGAGCTGGCGTGACAATGTTCTAGCATGTGCTGCTGCACGTGCATGGCATCAGTTTTAAAAGGCTTTTTGATATGGAGATCTACTAAGTAGATGTTCCTGCCAGTGCAGATTGTCAGGGTCTCGTGCCCTTGACGTCAGACTTTAACAGTTTCTGTGTCTTCTCGAAGAGATCGTTTAACTCAAGGTTCCAGTGCCTTGGTAGCCAGAAGCTGCATTGTACAGAGGGAGCTCATTGCAGAGCTTTTTGTATGCATTTCCGTGCATCTCTAAAAGCATCCCGGACGATTCTTCTGGTATCCCCTAATAGGCCCTTAATGCACATTTAACCCCAGCCCAACTTGTGCTTTCTTGGGGTCGTCTATAGTGAGATGAAGTCACAACTACGCCTGAGATCAATACAGACAGTCCTGTGAAGCAACCTCAGCAGTCACAATAGTCGGCGGCTAAGATCAGTTCGCTCGGAGCCTTCCGTTCATTCGTTGTGCGCAGATACTGTACTGGCTTTTGTTTGTCGTTCTGTGAGCATCTTCCGTCTAGTCACCATTTTTGGACACCACTGCACAGCACGATCACATCACCGACAGGATATGCAACCAAATCAACACTGATGGCAGCCGAGACCTTGGTGGGCATGGGATGGGAATGTAGAGGCAACTCCTAAGACCGGACATCGAGCTTGTCTGTAAATCTACCGATGAGTTACAGAGGTATTCAGACCCAAGCATAGTAGCGAGCCGACACATTACTGTGATCGCTCAGTAGGTTCCAGCATGCAATGTGAAGCTGCGACAGCTGATGGCAGTCAGCGCGAATGTTTTCAGGAGCCGCCGGGACGGGCCTTTCCACTGCCATCCCCCACCGTCGGATTCATTTCACATGTAATGTGCTGCTCCAAGTCTTTCCCTTTTTGCAATTTGCTTTTGCACTTGCTTGGCGCAACTCTTGCAAACCCATCTTGACATTGAGTGAATTCCATGGCAGCTTGCTTCACGGACAGGTGGCGCTGGACATGGCAACGCCTCTTGCAGGCGTTGTGGGTGCGCTTGCTGACGAGCTTCCTTCCCCGAGCTTCTTTCATCTTGGCTTCTCTTACGGTCGTTCTGCATCGGAGGCCCATACTCGGTGTGCCCCAGGGCCGCAAGGGGCTCGGTCGGTTGCTGAGTTGTTGGGAGGTCCTTGGCATGGCGCAGCAGCGTTCCACACCTCTTAACTTCTCTGAAGGCCGATCACTGTCGGCGTGCCGGAGGCTCAGCTTCACCGTTCTCGGCAGTGGTCTGACGCTCGGCACCGGCCAAGGCCCGACCGTGTCAAAGGCCTTTACCGTGCCACGCGCGCCCCTAGAAGGGAGCTCTCCTTGCGGGACAAGGCAGGACTGGGTTAATGGCTATTGGTCCTCGCTGGGATTGAACACTTAAACTTAAACGGGCATGCTCACAAGTTCTTAAGCGGGCAGTTTCCTCGGCACAAGGTGGACCGCTGCGTTTCGCAGTGTGAGCAGATGTCCTCTGAGAGGCAGGGGACCCCAAATGCGTTCACCAACGTTGCCATGTTGCGACCATGCACGCGGCAGCGTTATCCTTCGGGATTCCCCAAGCGAAGCACACAGGTTGCCTTCCGTAGATTGCGCGGCTTTCAGTTTCATACTCAAGCACGTGATTGGGGCACGCCAGCGGTTCGAGCACGCACTGGTGATTCAGGTCTTTATTTAGGCTTTCGGGATTGTATTTAGTTTTCCGGGTGCTTGAGTTGTTTAGGGTTTGGAATTGCGGTTTGGTTTTTGTTGGGTTGGGTCGTTAGGGCTTTCGATCAAGTTGTGAGAGTTTGGATTTCAACTGTTTCGAGTGTCTAGCGTGGTGTCCGCGGGCTTGTGGTTTGGGGTTTAGGGTGTGGCTATACTGCTTTAGGTTTCAGCGTTTTGGGCCCTCCAGCATGCGGTGCGAAGCCACCATGTCAGGGTGCGAATTGCTGTGGTGTGCGAATCAGCCTTGCGCGAATCCGCGATGTCCATACCAGAATCGGCTTTGTGTGTATCGGCTACCAAGCGGGCGAATCGGAAATTTCCTTTCCATATCGCGAATCGGTCTCCTACCTGCTTAGAGCACTGGAGCGGGCCATGGTTACCCGCTTGGCAAGGACAGATCCCGCCAAGCTGCGATTCAAGCGATTGCTCAAGGCGGCACTGTGCACAGGGTCCGGCTCGAATTGGTCGACGCAGTGAAAGATAGCTGGGAGTGACAGGACCTGGCTGCAGTCTAAACTCATTGCAATGCCTCCCTTGTCGTCTCTTGCTCACCTGAGACACTGTAAGTTCCATGAGTGATCTGAAGGAACTTCATGACGCAAGTGCGGTGCTGACCTCGTCTGAAATTCTGCGCGTCATTGCAGGGGCCTCGATGAAGTATGCTTGGGAGCGTGGTCCGTCGCAAGCACTGCGAACTAGGCTTCCCTGTCTGAGCACCTGCTCGTGCTGCACTCTGATTTTGCAAAGTTCGACGCTGAAATGAAGACTGCCGTGTTTTCATTCCCGAAGTGAAACGTGTCTGTGCGCACACGAGAGGAAGTACGCTCCTAAGGCCTCTGCTACTCGTTGCTGCCCAACGCTTGGCAGCCGAGCCCTTTGAGATGTGACAGGTCTGGCCAAGATGCAAGAGTGCGACCAAACTTCGTTGTGCGCATACAATCAAGCTCTAAGTGTCATGCATAACATCAGCATTCTGCATGTGTTTGTGTATGTTGAAGCACGAGGATTTCGGAACAAGCTTTCGGCAGCATGCAGTGCAAACCCAGGTGGCCAATTCAGACCTCTCTGATGCAAGCATCTTAGTTGCAAGAGATTACCTTGTTGACACTGGGATTTGAGCGCTCGTCTCTCAAGAGCCTTCGTGCTTGTGAGCTGCTAGCATGCCGCATGATATCGGCGAGTCGGCGAGTCTGTTAACGAGTGAGTGTCAGGCCAATTAGCGTCTTCCTGCCTCTCGATGGGTCTTTTTGCTGCTTCTGTCAGCGACGCGACACAGGACTTTGCACGTCTCTGCTGTTTTCGGTGGCATGGCAGACAGTAGCACATGGCCATGCTGCCCTTATTCCAGGAGTCAGCAGAAGCCCGAGCAGCCCTCGAAAAGTTGATGCCACAAGCGCTGGAGGTGTCGGCTTGGGGTCGTGAAAGATGTCATTGCAAGGCGACAATTCTTGCTTTGCCCGTGCCGCTTACAGTACTTGTTGTCTTCTTCGTTGGGTCTAGCCGCAGTAGCTACTTTGGCACGAGCCTCTTGGGTGACCAGGCTGCTTGCCCGCCATCTGCATCACAAGCTGAGTACCTGGCCAAGCACGCCTCTCAGGGTCAGGCCGCCTGCAGATTATCCTTGTGCTACTTAGCTACTTTTCGCTGTTGGACCGAGACCCCTGTTGGCTGCGGCTTTGTGCTGGCCGCCTCCTGGCTGATTAGCTTAGTGACCGGAAACCGAGTGCTCCGTGCACGCACATGTGTTTGGGCCTCCGCCCTCTTGCGATACTGAGGCTACATGTGGACACGTCAGCCGCCGTGTCAGTTGTACTGGCAGAGGAGGGGTGTCTTGGGAAGGGAAGCATTAGCGAAGCTCGAGCATGCATCCCGGTCTGCTGTCTCGTCATGTGAGTTTGGAAGAGTCTTCGGGCCCCTGAAGATATCGGCAAACTGCCTGCGATCTTTTGAGATGACCTAGAGGAGACCTTCTGGCGAAGCACGCGGCAAGATGCTGCCTTCGCAGGTTCTGGCTCGTCTGCAGCTGAAGCAGATGGCCATGCCTCCTCAATTCCGCGTGCATGCAGGTGCTCCCAAAAGCGTTGCCAGGGCCGTAGGGGCGCTGGGCTTGCTGCAGGCGTGGTCTGTTTCGCTTGGCTTGGCGGGAGGGTCACCGCTTGGCAGGCCAAAGGAGCCGGTCTGCCTGGTGTGCCTCGAGCTCTGGGCTCAGAACATATAGGGTTTTTTTGCCAGCGCTGCGCGCGTTCTGTGCGTCGCTCTTTTTTTTGGCACACGCTTTTTTGGGCCTCTGCTCTCTCAGCGTGTGCTGCGCCTGCTGGACCTGGACCGTTTGGACCTGGAGCTGCCCGAGCGGGGCCCCTCGGTTCTTCTCGGTTCTTCTCGGTTCTGCTGTCTCAGCGTCTCACTTGTGCTCTTTGCAGAGAAGTCGCGATGGGACAGAGCGACTTAGGTTGATCCTGCTGCGGCACGGCGGCGGTCTCAGTGTCAGAAACCTCCAGGTTGCAAGGGCAACGCTCTGAGTCGTGTCTGGAGGCCTTTCGGGCCTGGGCCTTGGCGAACACCGCCTCAGCAAGCAGGCGCAGGAATTGGCAGAGGCGCGCTCTGCCGCAAGAGGTGGGACCCGTGCGGCTGTAGGGAACTCCGTGGATTCTGACTGCTTGGCTTCACTTGGCAGGGGCCGCGGCGGTTTCCATGCACGAGATGTGCGAAACACTGGGTCTCCTTCGAATCCTGGGAAGGAGCTGTTGATGCAGCTGTGCAACATGTTTCATGCTTGCAGAGATGGCTCGTGACTCGTGCAGGCTGACGCCAGATGAGCCTCTCGTCTTCGACTTCATCCGCTCAGCAGTCAACAGCGTGGACAGGCAGAAGCCAGACGAGGGGAGTGTGCCAGTGGAGGAGATGTAGACCTGCGTTCAACAGCCAGTCCAGCCAGATGTTCAGATAAGTCTTACTTTGCGGTTGTCCACAGGTATCCAGACTGAGGCTTAACTACCAGGGTCCTTTGAGTGTTACTTCACGTAGTGGCCTTGATGTTTTTTGGCTATTCCTGTCTTCGTCCTGGGGTGACAACCGCTGTGACAGACTGCGCCGTGGCGAGCGTTTGATTCTCCGTGACCAGTGGCGAGCTCAAGAGTTGATGGCAAAAGCAATTCTTCTTTTGGCTTCGATGCCCTCAGTTTGGAGCACTTGGCGCGGCAGCTGGACTTCGACCCAGGCCTTTCCGATTTCCGGCGAGTCGCGCCGGGC